AGTCACCTCTCAAATAAATCATCACATTTCAATCAGTTGGAAACGAGAATATCAATCAGTCATCAGAATCTGTCAAGCATTTCAAAATGCACCTGAAATAGTTTGTGAACCCCAGCAAATGATAATAAGTATGTTATAACATATGTGATTATTAAAGTTGCAGGATATCATCATGTCTCATGTGCCAGCCAAGATAGTACTCAAGAGCACAACCACCAAGTCACTAAATGATCGGTGAGCAATGCACCTTGTATCTTGCTGTACATGGCATTATTGTACCTTTGAGCTGGCTTCCTGTTGCAATTTTGTCCTAAGAACTTTAGGAGCTTTGAAAGGGTCATCACTGACCACCAATCACAAGCCATATGGGAAGTGGCAAAAATTTATACCATGCAGTTAATATTGTTAAGGCTTGATGAAAAGGCTTTAAGAAAGTCATGGCCTGGTTGTAATTTGCTTTTTGAGTGAAAAGTGAAATGCATACAAGCACATTGAGTGCATGGTTACATTGAAGCCAGTAATATATACAAGGTACAAATTCCTGCTCTCCATCCATCTTCTGAAGCTTCACTGAAATGGCCAAAACTCAAGTCAGATCACCCCCTCAAGTAACTGTCACTGGAGTGCGGAGCAATCAGTTCCAGGTGGCTCAAGCTAGCATGAAGAATCGTCGCCTTGCTGCCCAGATGGCCAACAGACCAGGTGTCCAAGCAGCCCTTGGAGGAAACACATCGGACCTTAAAAGTCGACTTGGCTCACCAACAAGAGGAAGAGGTGCAAATAGAGGGTTATTAAAAAACCGATTGGGTAGTCCAGCTGTTGGTGGAAGAATTCATAGTGGGGGTCAAGTTGGTTTAGGTGGTGGATTAAGGCGGTCTAGTAATGTTCGTGGTGTGAGCCGAGCAAGAAGAGGTGGTGGTCTAGTTGGCCGTGGTGGTCGTGGTGTTGTGAAAGCCATCACTCGTGGTGGACGTGGTGGGCGTGGTGGTAGAGGAGCAAAAAATGTAACCAGGGGACGTGGACGGGGTCAAGGCCGAGGTGACAAGTCTGTGTCAAAGGATAGGTTGGATGAGGAACTTGACAAGTACATGTCTAAAACCAAAAGCCATCTGGATGCAGAATTAGATGCATACATGCAGAATGTAGTTGGAGATGAAAATTAATCTGAAGATAAGACAAAGATTGGTATGGCTGCTCTAAAGTGGATGATAAATTTATCAACCTGTTAAAACTGCATAGCTACAACAATTGTTATGGGGATCATTTGTTTAACAACAGATGGTAAAGAACTTGTTTTCATGGATTTTGTCATTTACAACTACAGATATTTTGGAAGAGTGGAAACTTTATCATCATGTCTTCTATAATCAGTAGACTGAACATTCATTACATCAGTGACATATTTAAGTTTTCTTTGTTTACTTCAATTTGTAAATATGCATTGTAGCCACTTTTTGTTGTACTCATCAACTGCTGTTATAATACATAGTTGATGTCATATTCTATAACAGTAAGCAGTTGAGATATTTTTTACATGTTTTGTCATGCTTACGGTGTTTGATGCAGCGAGACTGTTAATTTCACTTTGAAACTTGAACAGCTAAGATCTCATAGGCCTTCCTTGTTAATTAAGTTTTCTTTGGTTTCCATTTTAATAACAATACTTAACATTTGAATGAGAAAGAAGTAGAAGTAATACAGCTGAAAAAGTTTTTAGAGTTCCTACCATCCATGATAGGTCATCCTGTTCAGTTTATTATATTGGCATTACTTTTGTTAAAGGGCTTTTTTTTTTTTAGCCCTGTCATGGCAAGTGCATCTTAAGAAGAATTGGCCCAAATTGGCAAGTGCCTGGTTTGTTATCCATATTGATTGCTTGCATTCTTAGCCACATTAGGTCCATTTTGGTCAATTTTTCCCACACAAGCAGTATTAAGTTAAAGATTTCTTGTTTTAAAGGAAATTCTCCTTGATGCAAACATATCATGATGCAGCTTTTACAATTTATCTCTATGCCTTTTAAATAAAACAATGCAATGTCACTTCACAATTATGAATGTTTTGTACATGGCTCATCCAGTATGAATGGTGTTGGAATAAGCTTTACCCCATTGTTCTTTACATCAATAATAATAATTATTGCTCTCTTTGTGTCAGCTGCTCAGACTTTTTCATTCTCCTGTCAACATCTAGTTTTGCTCTTCTTGATTGGAGGTTAGTTTTATTACTTCACAAGGTTATTTGTTCCAGTGTTCATAGAATGAATGTGCCCTAATACCCTGAAAGCAAATTTTTCCTCTTTCTGAACAAAGCATCTCAGAGGGAAGAAATCTTAAATCCACTAATTTGATTAGCTAATTGACCACCATCCGGATATTTTTTTTCTTTTCTTTTGAAAGTTTGAAAACAAGATGCACCTGTTTAAAACCTTGAGGAAATAAGTTGGGAAAATTTAAATTTTTAAGAAAATTGATTCAAATGAGAGCAGCCAGCAAAAGTGAATTTTACTATCTAGATAGAACCTCCCATGAAATGAAAGTCAGGCAGCTGGATAAAGTCTAAAAACAGAAAAAAAAAAAAAAAAAAAAAGCTATTTACCAGTCTAGGTCAGTCCATATGGGCAAAAATGTACCTTTGGTCTTGAAACCAGTCTTTCCATGCCATATGGACCATGCTCACAAAAGAAGAAAGTACATCTATACTTTCATTTGGATGTGAAAGGAAATCTTAAAATATTGGGGATGATCATTTCCTTTCAGTTCATGACTTTTTGCCATGTTTGTAAATGTTAGATAACCCCCAATTAATTTGGTTCAGCTAGAATGGTGTTGGTCTCAGAAATTAATTCCTGGCCAAAACTTAGTTAACAATTTGGACCATTAATTTCCCCCAGAAGTTCAGCCATACCACAATCTCTCCAACTAACCTCACCAGCTTATGTCAAATGTTGGGCTTGGTAGTGAGTAAAATGAAAGATGTGAGAAGTGCAAGACATGAGGAAAAAATAGGGGTCCTTGTGCTTTTCCCATTTCATAGAAGTTGCGTGTCTGGGATCAAAGTCTAAGTTTACAGAAGGTAAGTCGAATGAGTGGGTCATGGTCCTTAAAGTTTCTTCTCTAATTGCTACTTTTAGTGGTTCCAAGACAGTTTCCATTGACTGCTCACCAGTAATTTTATTAATGTTTAAATCCTCTTTGCTAAGGAGAGAGAGTCCTTGCCAGCCACTTTTTGTTTCTTTTTTTTCTTTTTTGCGAGCTAGTGAAGCGTCCTAGAAATTATTAACTGTCTCCTCTTTGTCTACTTGCTGATAAGAACGTGAAAGCGAGGCACACGACAAATAATTTTCATGCGATTACTTGACAACAGTGTTGCTTGAGGATGGGGGAATAAGCTTTGCTTTGTGATCTTTGTTTGTACCTATGCCCAAATGTAACGTGGAATGGTAAGGGTAAAGTTCTGCATCTAGAGATTCTTGAGTTACAATTAGGAGAGCGAACTTTAAACAGACATTAGATGAGGCAGGGAATATTGCGCAACAAAGAAACCAAATATATGAATTAAAATAAGTTTTTCCACTTTAATGTGACAAAGGTAACCTACAATTGCCATCTGTGTCTTTTTCTATTGGAACACGCTAAGCACTGCCTGTTTGGTACAGTAACATGAGCAAGGAGCTTATCAATACAACCATAACGTGCAAAATTAATTAAATTTACCAATGAGAACTTATGACAAGTCTTGTCAGTGGAAATAAACATTATAAATAAGTAATTACAATAATTATAATAACTCTTACTGCAAAATTAGCTTCCTTGTGTCCTGCAAACAATAAAAATTGACTTACTTTTTTTTAGAACTAAATTTAAATAAATGTGTCATGCACCCTCTAAATAGTTTTTTCCAGTATTTTGGTTTTTGAGTTAAAAACAATTTTATCATTCCATCACTAGCAATGATTAACTGTTTAGGCTCTTCCTCAGTGTTACCTAAATAAATTAGAGATAATGAAAAGTTATTTTTTCTGTCTTATGTGGTCAGCTCTTAACATGTCACAACTAAACACTTTTCAAACTATGGTTAAATAATGGATACATTTGGGTTGAGAAAGTAATAAGTTGCATTCAATTACCTGAAAAAAACACTAGAACACTGAGTTACACCAAAAATATATACAAAACTGTAATACAAAAATACTCTGTAACATGAGTATTAAAAAGACACATCAACAGTGTTTCTGATGTACATGTCTTCCTGTGTAAATAACAATAAGGATTTTTTTCCAAACATCGCTCTGAATTACTAGTAGATTGGAAAAGTTAAAAAGAGTCTTGCTCCTACAAAACTGTACAAGGCCCAGCCTTGAGACAAAAAGTTCTTCTCTAGAGAAAACAGAGTCCAGCATAATTTAAGTTTTCTGTTTTATCAAACTATTAATGCAATAAATCCTTGCACAGAGAACATTAACATCTAATGGTTATAAAAAAATCCTTTAACACGCTAAGATACACAAAAATTACAACTAAAATAATTCAAAACAAACATATCTAATTAAGAGAAATTCAAAATCAAGTAGTTTGGTCAATCCAAGGTAGGGTTGGTCATTAGAAAAAGTCCAACACTCGTGTACACTGAAGAACTAAACATTCAATGTCAAGGTTTTGTGAAGAATGAAAACAAAAAGAACTTGACACACCATGGGTAAATAATCCCAGTCACCTTAACAATAAATTCTGATGATAAGATTATTACTAGAGGAGCAATCAAGAATTTAAAATATTTAGGGAGTTTCTCATTCTAATGACCACTCAGCCATGGATGTTTAAACTTGCAAATCTTGTGAACTTGCTGTAAGTATTAAGCAGAAAATGCTAAAATTGAAAGGTGACAATGAAAGCAAACAAAACACGATTTTCCCCTGTACTATAATAAGAAATATCAAATTGAAACCTGTGTTGAGAAATGTTTGCACAATCTCCAGCTCAACAAATTACTAGCACTTAACCGGCTTGTGATGTAAACACAGAACAGAAACAATTTCACTGCATGTTTTCATCTAAAAGTGAAACCTAAGTAAATGATTAATAAACTGAACCATTTGAAAACAATCTACACCTGTAAGGCTAACAACAAATAACCAAATTTAAGACACAATGATGACAGCATCCTTACACGTCCTGAATAGCAAATTTTACACTCAGGTCTGTGGGGTAGGATGTTATACAGCCTGCCATTCACAACCTGCATCAGGATTAGCTACAAGGACTTCAAATTACTGAGAAGTACCACTTTTGCTTGTGCGGGTCAGTGGTCTAAAAATTAAAAAAGATTAGAGAATTATAAGCTGACAACTTCCTTACTATGTGTTTGGTGTGGCTTTAGGTACACAATGATGTAAATTTAAGGCAGTCATTTTCTTAACTATAATACACCATATCACCTGTGCTGACGATATCCTTCAATTGAATGATGCCACAACCAACATGAATGACAGTAATACTTGAAACAAGATTCTTCACGGCAGAAGAATGGACCAGTGGTTGTGTGACAAATGTCACACATTGAATCCTCTAAATATGGATCAACCTGCACCTGATTAACCACAAATAAACAATTAAAGTTT